GAAGTTCTGACTTTGAGTTTTACATTCTGCAATAAAGTGGCAGAGCTAGGATAACAAGACGGAAACAATCCTGTAATAATGATTAGAGATTGGATAAAACTGTATTAATCGCTCGGGTGGGTTCCCCCCATCAAAGTCAGTTGTTGTCATTTCAAAGTTATTACCACTCAATTATAACATAGTAACCAGTTAATATTCAAGTAAACTCATGGTGGCCGTCAGTAATAATAGTGTAATACCTTTGTAACAATACAAAAATGAGTTTGAATTTTCACATTTTTATACAGTTTCAATTGGGATAACCTAATAATAATAATAAGGTAATAGTGACTGATGTTTTAGCTGATTTGGATAGTATTACTATATTATAATGTTTGAATTAATCCTACCTCAAGTTTCCAACATTCTGCTTTGCTTAAAATCAATAATGTAAATATTATGTTTATTGCTCTGAATTATTAAATGGGAATCTCTGTGGTAGTTTCTGTTCAATAAGCAGGAAACGAGGCTGCAAAATGCAAAACTGCCTGTTTCTAATTAATAACACATTGACAACCATGGTAACATCATTTTAAAGCAAAGAATAGTAAAGATAGTAAATAAACAATATTGATGACTACAAGGAAATCCATATGGCTGTTTCTGTGTAATAACCTGAACCTTAATAAAATGGTAATTATAACTGATTGAAACAACATCAGTGTTTCTCACTAATGCAAAATGCTGAGAATTAAATTTAAAAGAATGCTACATGAATGCATTAGAGTTGCATGGGAGCGTAGAAGACCCTCTTTCACAGCGTATTTTATATTTGGATTATAAAATAAAATATATTTTAACATTTTATATGTAGGAAAGAAAGTAGGAGTAGTAATAGAACAATGGAAATGTGCAGTACACAAAAATAAGATACCAAGAGGTCCTCTAACTTGTCCACTACAGTGTTATGGGGCCACAACTCCACTGTCCTGCACCACCTTCATCATAAATTGACCCCTAACCATCCAATGATCCAGCCTCTCCTGTAGCTATAGCACCAAGCGGCCTGCTTGCATACACATGGCTGTAGTGTTGATCACCTGGTTGGTTTCGGTGATGGTCGCAGTGAGGACTGCTCGTAATGCTGCTTTCACATCTTCTAGTTGACCTTCAGAGGATACGTCACGTAGTCTTGGTGACTGAAGGCTCCAGGTTTCCAGCTTCGCCATCATCCTGTCTCTCTGGTCAGCTTCTGTTGCACTCTGCGCTCCTTTCTTTGTACTTGGAGCTTGGTACCCAATCTCACTGGTGTTATCACCCACCTGACCTGATGTCACAGGTCACAGGTTAGCCCTTAGGCAAGGTACAAACAAGAACGTAGAGTATTTTAGAGCCAGGTGTACACTGACGCATACAACGACCGAGTGGTGTCTATTTACACCTACAGGCCAGTGGACGCTCTTTCAACGATGAGGATGTAACATCCTGGACAGGGAGGAACGCTGGTTTGAGGGCGAAGTCAAGGAGGCCATTTACGTGAAAAGGGAAAGACCATCTCTGAATGGAGGAGGGGCCTAAGGGTCCATCTGTCACCATCTTACCATGCTGTGATTGCAGCCATTCCCCAACAGTCATTGTTTCTGTCATTATGCAAATGTGCTGTTTATAAGGTTGCAACCTGTTGGCAGCTGAGAC